CTAACAGTAGTAATATTACAGTTACTGCGTTACCTGAACGCCTCTTGTTTTGTTGTCCTTGACGTGAATGTGCGACTGAGCTGCAGCTCAGGTTCAAGTCCAGAAGCCGGACCTGATGTTGTTCAGGTCAGCTGTTAGCCAGGAAGCTAAAGGCAGGACAGAGAAGGAGGGAGAGTTTAGTGAAGCTGCGGCGCTGAGCGGGAGGAGCTGCTGCCAGAGGTGTAAGTAAGTAATATAGTAACGTAACGAGTCACTTTAATGCAGTAACAGTATTTAGTAAAGTAGTATTAGTACTTTTTAAGGAGTAATAAGAAACGTGCCCAACACAGCATCAAACACTTTAAGACACAGAGGGGAAATATTCAGCCAATCAGAGAGCAGGATCCTCAGCTGTCGTGGTCTACATGAGATCACGCACACACACACACGCACACGTGCACACACACGTGCACGCTCTCTCCCAGGTGGCGTCAGAAGTTGGAGCTCCAACAAACTGAGTCTTTCTTCAGAACAAGCAGATTAACGGCTGCAGGATTAAAACCGGGACACCCAAGTCGACCACGAGTGGTCCGCCGTCACCATGGCAACCAGTCAGCGGGGGGGTGGGGTGGAGGACACACACACACACACATATATATAACCTACATATGGCTGCCGTCAGCGGGAAAACTTGTATCTTCAAGTCTAATGTGTTTTCCAGTCGAAGCTGAACTTCAGAGTGACGAGGAGACGAAGACGAGGAGACCAAAGGTTTTCAGATGTTTCCCAATAAAACAAGAGACTTTCTGTAAGGATTAAGCTGTTTGTAAGGATTCAGGTTTAAAAGTTCTGCAGATCTCTGCTGAGGTTAGCATGCAAACAGCTTGCTCCGTCCGGTCTGCCCTTCAGGCGGGTTTCTTACCAGGTTTGGCTCTTGGCCCCGGGCCCCGGGACTGATCCCACTATAAACGACCTTTATCAAGTTTTAAGCTGTTAAACCGAAAATTATTTTGTTTCACGTGAATTTGTTTTAAAAACGTCTCAGCTGCAGACAAAGAGTCTGCAAAGAGAAACCACAGACCTCAGACCCTGTCCTCTAAACACCAACACAGTGGAAAGACCGAGACCACAGAGGACAAACCAAGCTGACCCGAGTCCGGACTTCTGACAACGTCCAACATGCAGAACCATCTTTCCAGCAGCCATCCTGTTATTAATGTTACTGATCTGTATGTGATGTGATGTCACACCAGAGCACGTCACAAAGAAGCAACATAATAAAAGCAAATCTAATGTGGACACTGATACAGAAACAACATTCAAATAATAAAACATCAGCCGAACAAACCGAGGAATTTAAGTTTAAAAGTCTGCACACATGAAACAGCACGTGGAGACAAAATAAAAGTCTCCACCAGAGACTGCGTGGTTCAGGTCTGAGGGAAGACCGGTCCACCGTGGAGCAGCTGGTGAATCCTGGTAAGAAGGCCTTAGGGTTCAGGTGAAGTAAGTCTGAGATGGGTCCAGGACTCCTGGATGGTGGCGCCCCACAGGCTGGAAACTGATCCTTATTTTATTATCAGAATAGATTTCCTCACTTCCGGCTCTATTTTGACAGGATCAGTTAAAACACAAAAACATTCAGAACTCAAACTTTATATGAGAATAAAAAGCACTGATTGGTCGTTTAACTGACTGGGATCTTCTGCCCTCAGGTTTGTCTGGCAGGACAAACCTCTAGTGTCTGTTATTTCTTCAGGTTATTAAAACATCTCTCTGACTTCAGTACATTTTAAATAAATATCTTTCCTACAATTATTATTATTTCTTTAATTAACCATTACTTTTATTTAAAATGTGTAAATAAATCTGAATAAAGTTCAGCTGCTTCACTCTAAAACTTTGACTCCTTGATTTTTTACTGATTGTACTTTAATTTGGACGAATTTAACTGCAGCGACGTTTCAGACAAACATCATTAAACCCTGCAGCCCCGTGTGAGTGTGTGCGCATGTGTGTCTGTGCATGTATACGCGTGCGTGCGTGCGTGCGTGCGTGTGAGTGTGTGTGCTGCAGCAGAGGTCGACCAATCACTTTGCTCCTCCTCGTGTTTGGACAGTGTTAGTATGCAGAGCCAGTGTGTGTGTTTGAAACCTTCAGGAAACGGCAGCTTCAGCAGTTTGTTCAGTCAAACTGTAAGCAGTACATTTACTCAAGTACTGCACTTAAGTACAATTTCGAGGTACTTTACTTGAGTATTTCCACTTTATCCTTCTTCATGTATCTGACAGCTCATGTTTCTTTGTAGATCTGAAACAGCGGCCACACTGAAACACTGCATAACATGGGGGGGTGTCTGCTGTTAAAGTGCTCTCTGCATGGTTTAGGAGCCCAGTCTGGGTCAGATTGAACATTATGTAACAAGGAACATAAGAAAACCATGTTGAAAGCTTTTTATTCAAAACTTAAATAATTTTTTACATAATGTGTGTTTGTAGGGGTGATCCCAGAAACTGTCAGTCACAGGAGTGATCATAACAATGAAAATGTGTCAGACACAAACTGAATTTTAAAGAAAACATCTGATATTTTCTTTGTTGTCACAGCTAACCACCAACCAGCTTACAGCTAAAACATTAGTACTAACTTGCAGAAAGATTTCTGCATAGACACAATAACGCATACTAAACACTGCAGCAACACGACTACACAGCTGAACTTTGTTTCTATGAGGCACAAACACAGAAGTAAAGACAGAAATACTCCAACATCACCCCAACATCACCCTGACAATACTCCGACATCATCCTGAAAATACTCCGACATCATCCCGACAATATTCAGACATCATCCCGACAATATTCAGACGATACTCCAAAATCACATCTGCACGCTCACTACTTTACGCTGTTCTACAAGCTGCACGTCCTACAAGCTGCACGCTCACTACTTTACGCTGTTCTACAAGCTGCACGTCCTACAAGCTGCACGCTCACTACTTTACGCTGTTCTACAAGCTGTACGCTCACTACTTTACGCTGTTCTACAAGCTGTACGCTCACTACTTTACGCTGTTCTGCAAGCTGCACGCTCACTACTTTACGCTGTTCTGCAAGCTGCACGCTCACTACTTTACGCTGTTCTACAAGCTGCACGCTCACTACTTTACGCTGTTCTGCAAGCTGCACTCTCACTACTTTACGCTGTTCTGCAAGCTGCACGCTCACTACTTTACGCTGTTCTGCAAGCTGCACGCTCACTACTTTACGCTGTTCTACAAGCTGCACGCTCACTACTTTACACTGTTCTACAAGCTGCACGCTCACTACTTTACGCTGTTCTACAAGCTGCACGCTCACTACTTTACGCTGTTCTACAAGCTGCACGCTCACTACTTTACGCTGTTCTACAAGCTGCACTCTCACTACTTTACGCTGTTCTGCAAGCTGCACGCTCACTACTTTACGCTGTTCTGCAAGCTGCACGCTCACTACTTCACACTGTTATACAAGCTGCACGCTCACTACTTTACGCTGTTCTACAAGCTGCACGCTCACTACTTTACGCTGTTATACAAGCTGCACGCTCACTACTTCACACTGTTATACAAGCTGCACGCTCACTACTTCACACTGTTATACAAGCTGCACGCTCACTACTTCACACTGTTATACAAGCTGCACGCTCACTACTTCACACTGTTATACAAGCTGCACGCTCACTACTTTACACTGTTCTGCAAGCTGCACGCTCACTACTTTACGCTGTTCTACAAGCTGCACGCTCACTACTTCACACTGTTCTGCAAGCTGCACGCTCACTACTTTACGCTGTTCTACAAGCTGCACGCTCACTACTTTACGCTGTTCTACAAGCTGCACGCTCACTACTTTACACTGTTATACAAGCTGTACGTTCACTACTTTACGCCGTTATACAAGCTGCACGCTCACTACTTTACGCCGTTATACAAGCTGCACACTCACTACTTTACACTGGAGCAAAGGGTAATTTCTTCAGTGTTGAAACATGAAAAGATAGAATCAGATATTTACAAACATGTGAGGGGTGAACTCACTTTTGTGAGATATTGTATATATATATATTTAAACTGAACTGAATCCACGGTGATCTGTGGTTCTGTTCTGCGGTTCTGTTGGTTCCATCTGTGCAGATGATGTGGTTCTATTGGATCTATCAGTGTAGACAACGCGGTTCTGTTGGTTCCATCAGTCTGTTGAAAGTTGTCAAAGTTAAATGTTCATTTGAAGTTTTTAGGGAACATGAAGTCAGAGCGGCTTCTTTACATTTGTCAGAGCGATCTTCTGAAATTAATCTGAGCAGAGTTTCTGTTTCAAACAGGAGAGTTTAAAAGAGGAAACCTTAAATCAACACAAGAACTAAAAGGCTGATCTTCAATTAAAGACACGGGGGGGGGGGGCAGGATGAGAAGGTGGAGGTGGTACCGAGATGAAAAGCTTCATCTTCTTTGTAACTAAAGAATAAAATCTGTTGATTACAACATGAATTGTGCTAATAAAGATAATTTGAGTAATTAGACCGAACAGAACCGAAACGTGCGGCGGTGAACTACGTCACTACCATACTACACCCCTCAGACATCCGGACCTCTGACAGGTGAATAACCCTGATTACCTGGTCACCTCGGCACCTGTCAGCTGAGCAGGTGAACCTCGTGTCACTTTGGTAAGGACCCAACTGCGATGGCTAGATGACTGGGTCAGAAGATCTCCAGACCGCTCTGCAGGGCTCAGAACCTCTCAGAAGTGGTCCAAGGACGGAGAAGCTGTGACCTGGTGACAGGGTCACGGGGAGCGAAGGCTCAGTGAAGGCCGGACCGTCTGGTCCAACAGACGAGCTCCTGCAGGTCAACCTGCTGAAGAAGTTAAACTAATATCTGACATAAACACATGAACAGTTTTTAGAGTTGCTGTGAATGTAACGATTGACATTAATGAACAATTATCATTCATAAGAATTTATTTCACGTCAACACCAAATAAAGAAAAAAGAATAGACTTGTATTTATTATAAAGTGTGATAAAAGTACAGATGAAAAAATCTGCTTCAGTTCCCACAAACAGCTGAATCACATCTGAACATTAACAGAAAGTTTCTGAATGAGGAAAAACATCAACATGTCAAAATAATACACAATAAAACTGTAACTAAACATACATATACATACATATATATATATATATATATACACACACACAAAACAGAATAACATAACCAGCAATCAGTTTATAAAAAGAATGAAAATTCAATACTAATAATAAAACAGAGGAGGTCAGATGACGGCTCGAAGGCTCCCTGTCCCGACTTTCTTCCTCAAAACCTCCACCAGACGCTCCAACCTGAGGAAGAAGAGGAGGAGGAAGAAAAGGAAGAAGAGGAAGAGGAGGAAGAGGAGGAAGAAGAGGAGGAGGAGGAATTTTATTCATTGTTTTACCTGAAACCTGAAGCTATCAGGGAACAGATGTTCCTCCTGTCAGGAAAATAATATTCCAGCATTGAAACTGAACCAGAAACCCTGCAGGACCTGGTGAGAGGCCCGGGTTCCTTGTGGAGTTTCTGTCTGTTTTACCTGCAGTGTTGTTACGTTCGGGACCAGGTTCTGCCTGAGACCTTTCTATACACACAGCTGACTGTGGGTTAGAGAGGGGACCCTTCCCGGGCTCTGATTAAAACATGTGAGCCTCTATGGATGTGAGCTATGAGGGGGGGGATCTGCCTCGTCGGCTCTGCAGGACCTGCTGTTCTGTGGAACCGGTCTCTGCAGGACCTGCATGGAAAGATTCTGTGGGACGTTTGTCGGGACGCGATGATGAGCCTGTGCGTCACTGGCGCCGGTGCAGCGAGCTAACGTGTGAAGAACGTTTGGAAATGATAAACTCTTTCTTCTCTTCTGTGGTGCAGCTGAAACTCTCTGCCAGCAGTGACGGTCAGCTGTGAACTGTGCTCCGCCCCCACAAACCAAATTAAACTTCCTGTCTCTAATAACCAGCAGATCCCCCCCCCCTCCCCTCCACAGAGCAAATATTCCTCTCTTCACTATTCAGAAACTTGGGAGGCTCTTCAGAGCCGGCCGCCCCCCCGCTGGCAGCCAAATTAGAGCAGAAAGCCGCGGGTTTGAGCCCAGGAGGACGACGCGGGACGCAGACGGACGACTTAAGCTGTTTTCATCATGAATCTCATCCCTTCATCTTCAGACTGATGAGATGAGAAGCAGCAGCAGAAGAAGTCACGTTATTCAGCATCCGACCGTCATCCTGTACCCGTCGAAATCTGAAGGATTAATTCTTCCTGATCAAGTCGGCGGCAGAGACTCTCACGCCGACGCCCGCTGAATATGAATCATCAACCCAAATCTCTTTAGTCCCACACGCTTAAACAGCCTTTGAACACATCGCAGAGTCACTGACGGCCGCATGTTTGTGATGGTTTCTAACCTTCTGACCTGGTGACCGGTCACATGATCACAAATATCACAAGGACACTGAAAAACTGGTCAATGTTTACTTTTACCATCTCGTGACCCCTCAGATTTGTCTTCGGACCCCTGAGGGGCCTCAAACTCAAACCACTGACTTGTGTCAACATGCTGAAGCCGACAGATTCAGTTCTTAACCAAACTGCAGGATGAGCTCAGGAGACGAGTTCAGGTTCGTCAGCAGCAGCTGCAGAAACGAGAATCTGAAGGTTTCTTCTGGAGAAAACCTCAGTTGTGTTTTAGGAACTTTCGCTTTCTTCCACGTGGTGCGGACACACTGACGTCTCACACGGGATTATCAGGAACAAAACCACAGTCGGGTCCACGGCAACAACTGCTCGCTCCCCGCAGCAGCGACTTGAATCCAGAGACCAGATCCGACTGTTTTAGAGTCCAGACAGAAACCGCCATCACAGATTAAGCTGGGGCCGCACCATTTGGAGAAAAAGTCGATTTTAATGGAACAAATGGTGCTCTGAGTCTACTCGCTAAATTATCAAGGAAATACTGACATTTTGAAATGTGTGTTTCTCAACTTGAACAAAGTTAAACGATAACTAGTAAAACAGAAGAAGGGGAGCGAGTTGCTGTCAGGAGGAGGCACTGCTACAGGGCCCTGGAGGAGGAGCTCGTATAAAAGAGTCTATTAGTAAAACATTATATTAAAAGTATATAATATAGTAAACCGTTAGTTTGATATTAATATGTTAATTATATGATGTTACTATATTCATTATAATTTCAGTTCCAGCTGTCTCAGCTTGGGGTTGTTGTTTTATTCATTAACTCTCTACATGGTCTCTAACTCGCCAATAATCACAACTATTTATGCAGAACAATGAGGTCAGCATTTAAAATTGTTTTTAATGTCCCGATTTAGCTAAAGAGCCCGCTAACGTAGCCAAACCCACACGCTCCTTGAATTTTCCCTGCTGTCTTCTGTCTTACCGCATCTCGCTCTCGGTTTTGAGTAACGGGGCTGTTCAAGCGGCCACAGAGCTCAGACAGACTATGTTTTTAACGATTAGCATCGGGGGTCCAGCGTGGTGGGAGGTTACAGTCGGTAACTCGTAAATCAGTTTTCCGATTCGCACGATCTATTTTTATGGGCTGTATGAGAGTGAACGTCTCGCGTCGTAGATCCCAACGTTAGACAGAAGAATCGTCACGTCCTGCCTATTTAGTCATTTTGGCTATGCAATATAAATAAATACGTTCACCCACACTTTCAGCAGACAAACCGGATGTTCACACTGACAAAAACATCTACAAACTGTAATACCTTGCTAAATGGCGATTAATACTTTTTAATGGCCTTAATTTTCGCAAAATTGATTTATTACCTTTGAAGACTTTTTAAGAGCCGGCGGACATCCTGTCGACCGAAGGCAGCGACGCAGCGTTAAAACGCCAAAGCCAAACCTTCCTGATTGTCTCTGACCTTCAGCTGCTGCCGACGTCTCTCTGTCTCAGAGCGGCCGGCGTTTCTCTCGGTGCTCCGGTGGCGAGTGCGAATTTGTTCTGAACGATTAGCGGCGGGCGGGGAGGGGAGGGCGCTTACGGTAGGTTGTTGTCTTCAACGTTACTGGCACATTGCTCATAAATCATTTTCTGATTGCACGTATCTGTTTTTAGAGGCGCACGTGATGATGAGCAGCCTGCAGCAGAGAGCGCCACACACTTTATCGCTCTTATTAAATCGCACGCTTTCTGCGGTTATGTAACCGCATGACGACCTGCGATCAGCGTAATGGCGCAGCCCTGGAGGACCTCATCAGTTCTAGTAGTAAAGTCTAAAACATGGTGACAGGTGTGTTCCGATCTCACCTGAGGACTCTGTCGCTGGCCTCCCGCTCCGCCTCCTGACAGCGCCGAAGCTCCGCCTCCAGGCTCCGCTTCTCCTTCGACAGCTGCTGAAACTGGACCAGCAGGGGCGGGGCCTGACGGGCTGCCGCCAACGAACCCGGAGAGACGCCGTCACCTGGCGGCGAGGGAGGAGAGGTGAGGAGGTCCTGAGAGCTGAGAGAGGGAGCGAGGAGTTTACAGGTCAATGTTCAGGCAGTGAAACTTTATTTATACAGCAAAGGTCACAAAGGTCACAACATCAAGCAGAGCCGCTCTGTTCAGCCTGTTTTTAGACCTGAAACCACCGACCATCAGATCCTGTTACAGAGACCGGAACATTTCACCTGCATTAAAGGAGCCGCTCTGGTCTAAGTCCTGTTTATCAGATGGATCTCGGTTTGTACGCTTTAACGGTGAATCGCGGCGTCCTCACAGCTCCTCTAACATCTTGTTAAACGCCACTGGACAGTCAGGGACTCGGCCTGGGGTTTTCTGTGTGGTGCGTTCACTGTCGGCTTTAAGCAGCTGTGTCTCAGTGAAGCAGCTGAAGTTCACAGTTTGGAGCCGACGTCAGGAGGTGGAAACACACGACCTGATCTGGGAGCAGCTCACTGTGAAGGAGCTGACAGTTAATCAATCGGCTGAACGCTTCTGAGAGGCTTCAGGTTAATTAAAGGTAAACAGAGCAGAGGACAAAGGTCCCCCGGCTTCACCTCAGACTGGAGCTCTCAGACCTGAACCTGCAGAAACGCCCGGCTGCTTTGATTTTCTGCACTTTCAGTAAAGAGAAGAAGCTGTTTCAGGTTTCTGTGGGTCGACGGTGTGACGCTCAGGAGCCAGACGTCAGACATCAGCCTCGCTCAGCGGTTTAAAACCACCAGGATCCCAAATGCCATTTAAATTAGGGGACTTTAGCTAAACCTGCCACCTGAGTCACAGGACGGGCCGAGAGGACCTCGTTCAGAAACCTGTGTGCGTGAGAACCATTGTTGTCCGCTGAGGTCCTAAACCAACAAGCAGCAGGTCAGGGGTCAGAGGTCAAAGGGGGTCAGGCTTGTTCCTGACCTGCATCAAATGAAGCTTCCGTCAAACAGATGCTTGATGTGAAAGAACTGTCCGATTCACCGCCGTCACCCTGATCCACCAGAGACTGGAAGAGATCCAGCAGAGACCCTGTCTGGAATCTGTTGACAGGAAGTGATGTGTTGTACATTTCTGAGTAATCAGAAGAAGACTTGGGAGGTTTTTAAGGTTGTAAAACTCAACGTTCCCCTCAGACACATCCGGAGCAGCTCCAGGTTCAGAGTGCTGCTCAAGGACACTTCAGCTGGTTAACGGGAGGAGCCGGGAATCGAACTACCGACCCTGTGATTACCAGCTGAAACTGTGATGAAACACACATCAGACATGTATCTGACAAATATGGAATTAGGTGCATCTGTAGCCTCAGGGATTTCAACAGCCCCTGCTCCGGTATTTGATTTTTAGCTGTTAGCGGCCCCCGTTAGCGGCCCTTGTTAGCGGCTCCTGTTAGCGGCCCCGTTAGCGGCCCCCGTTAGCGCCCCCGTTAGCAGCCCTTGTTAGCGGCTCCTGTTAGCGGCCCCCGTTAGCGGCCCCCGTTAGCGGCCCCGTTAGCGGCCCCCGTTAGCAGCCCCCGTTAGCAGCCCTTGTTAGCGGCTCCTGTTAGCAGCCCCTGTTAGCGGCTCCTGTTAGCGGCTCCTGTTAGCGGCCCCTGTTAGCAGCCCTGTTAGCGGCCCCCGTTAGCAGCCCCCGTTAGCGGCCCCCGTTAGCAGCCCCCGTTAGCAGCCCTTGTTAGCGGCTCCTGTTAGCGGCCCCCGTTAGCGGCCCCCGTTAGCGGCCCCCGTTAGCAGCCCCCGTTAGCAGCCCTTGTTAGCGGCTCCTGTTAGCAGCCCCTGTTAGCGGCTCCTGTTAGCGGCCCCTGTTAGCGGCCCCTGTTAGCGGTTAGCATGGATGTACAGACAGCTGTCTCTGGATCAGTGTGATACTGAAGGAAGCTTAAAAACTTGAAGGTTCTCCGGAGGTTCTGCAGCGTCTCTCTTTGGTTTCTAAGCTGATTTCTGGACGTCACCCTGATGATTCAACACGTGTTTCTGAGAGTTCAGATCAGATGAGTCAGGACTCTGATGAGGGTCAGCGTTTCACCTCCCGCCTCCTACAGGCTTTAGTCTCTCTCTACAATCTTTACTCCTGCTGCATGTTACAGACCAGACCCTGTAGCCTGACCGGGGTCAACATGTGGTCCTGAACGAGGAGTTAAATGACAGCCCCCCCCCCTCGTGGGTTACTGTAGTTGCAGAAGAAAGATTCAGTCCTCACACAGATAAAGGGTTCATATAAAGTAGAATCTAACTAATCTTTCTGAGAAATGAAGAGGAGTAACAGGAGAAATTCACTTCTGTTTCTCCCAAAAATCCAAACCTCCCCCCCCACCTGCTGCCCCCCCCGCCCCCCTCCTCTGAGTCTCTGCAGGCGTTCGGCATCAATCCTGATGATGTATGGAGGCTCACAGTTCAGACAGCGTGGACAAACAGCACGACTCAGTCCTCCCCTCGCTCTGCTCTGCTGCAGAGCTTCACAGCCTCCTTCTGCAGACTGCTGATCAAGTCTGGACCTGAAAGCCAGACCAGCCTCCTCTTTGTGGTTCACACATCATGTGAGCGTGATCTCCTCCAAACACACAAATCACGCTCCATCACAAAGACGGTGCTCACTAAGTTCCTGCAGGTGAACAGGAACGTGCAGCTGTATTATATGAAGCGGTGTTACAGGATCAGGAAGCCACAGATCTGCTGCTCTGAGCTGACGTTCCAGCTGAAACTGTGGGACGTCCTCCCGCCGCCCTTAAAGACTGATTGTTAATTGGGGAATAATCCTGATTCTTGTACAGTTGGCGTCCTACATCTGTTCACCTGCAGCAGGTCACTCCTAAACTACAGACCAATTTCTTTTTTCCCCCCAATTTCTCTTTATTTAAGTTTTTGGATATAAAATACAAAAAGACAAAAACAACAGACAGACCTCAGAGGACGTCATTACCATCGCCACGCCAAACACATCAATTATACATTTGCACCAAAATAATCTATCAAAGTTTGCCACGTTGAGTAAAATATTTCCCCCTCAACAAATATTCAATTTTCTCCAATTTCAAATGAACCATTAGGTCTTTCATGACGGCCGAGTGAGCAGGGGGCATTTTCAACACAAGAGAATCACTCTCCGCAAAACAAATCACGCCAAGAAGAGCCCAGATTGGTTCTGGTCACTCCTAGGTCATCCTGCCAGGCTCTTTCCAAATGCTCCAATGTCGAGTCCTCCTGTGATTTTAGCAATTAATCCTCTTTCAAACGGATCAGAACACCATTTCCACTGTGGAGTTTGGGGGCTGATTAGGGAAAGATGGAAATAAGTCAAACTACAGACCAATTTCTAAATGATCTTTTTTATCTATGGTGCAACCTGTTGTCACATGTGGACGCGTGGTCAAGACCCGCTGGCCTCAGTTCGTAGCACACCGGGGGAAACCCTGTAGCGTCAGTCTGTAACACTAGAGGCAGGATATTCGAGCCGAGAGGTCTGACCGAGCGTCTGAGGATGAGAACAGCTTGTTTTTAGAATAATTCAGATGCTGTTTGAAGGCAAACAGTTTGCATTTTGTTAATTGGTAAATATGATCTGTTAATCTCTCTTTTTGAAAGCATTTTGACGCGGTCAGCTGACTGTATCCGCTACGCCTGTCGTCCCTCACACGGGACCCTCTGTCAGTGCAGCCATTAGCACGCTAGCTAATCAGAGCCCATCTCACTAACAACACATTTAAAAAGCTTCCTGTCGGCCGGCGCTGTAAACAAACGTACTACAGCGCCACGGGCTCTCTGGGAGCGGGGGCACGTCTGACGCAGCAGTGACATCACCACACTGTGGCCTCAACGAGCCAATGAGGAGAGAGAGGATGAAGGCTGAGGCTTCCTGTTGTTCAGTAGACTGACCTGTGATTGGCTCGCAGCACCTGCAGCTCCGCCTCCAGTCGGCGTCTGTCCTCCGGAGCTCCGCCTCTCTCTCTCTGAAGCCTCAGCAGCTCCTCCTGATTGGATAAAACACATGTCAATCACAATCACCTTCTGACAGTCAGTGAATCAGCTGACAGAACGAACGAGGATGATGATCATGATGATGAAGCTGGTCGTTACGCTGACATCAGCTTCCTGTGAAACGCCCGGCGCTGCGACGGAAAGTAAGGTAACAGGTTTGAAACGTTAGCGCTGGCGTGCTCAGAGCCGGCCTCTGTTTGGATAAGGATTCACTACCCAACTGGAGTGTCACACTTCACAAAGAGGATTTCACTGTCAGCCGTGTGTGTTCAGCTCCAGATCAGCACACAGTCAGCTCCCGGACTGAACCTCCAGGTGCATTCTGGGACGGAAAGAGCTCAGCTGCATCAGCAGTAAAGTCATTTTGGGAAGAATTCACAGCTCGCTCTCATCACGGGACACTTTTATTTAGTGCCTCTCGTTATGTTTTCTCTCTGGTTCTTAATTAAACTTAAAGTGACTGTAGAGCTCAGGGCTCGAATAGTCCAAGACTCGATGCTTCGATGGGCGGAGCCTGATTCGACTGTGAGATTGACAGTCGAAGCTTCGCAGCGGCGTTATGTAACGAGGATCAAAGCATTTTGGCCGTACGGGGGTGCTCAACGTCTCATTTCACATAGAACTACCGGTTTTATCAACATATAATGCTGTAAATCAAAATGTGAGAAAAAAGAAGCTTTTAATAAATCTTTTTAAAGTGCGTGAATAAATCCAAAATTGTAACCCTTCCCTTCAGGAAGGGGGCGTCGCGGCAGGCGAGGAAGAGAGACCGCCAGCTTCGCCGGTGTTGTTGTTGTCTGCAACGTTCGGGTCATTTATCACCACTGATGAACCTCACAAACATGTTATACAGTTTTACATATGTACTTGGAATAGACCCACGAGGAAACGCACGGCGTGCACGCAAAACTCTGCTCAAGACCGGTGAATGGCAGGCGAGCGGAGAGAAAACACAGCCTCAGTTCAGCTGGAAATGTTCAGCGTTACAGAGAGGCTGCAGCTTCTCAACATTAAAGCGCAGCTACCGAGCGTGAACCCGCCCGCCGCCGCACAAACACGCAGGATTCGACTATCAGTTCTGACTGGACTGTGTGAATCCTCGGTCGGGGACAGCACCGGTGCAGCTGTGAAAAACCTGGACTGGTGGGCGGTCCGGGGCCTCCTCAGCCAGGAAGCTGTTCTCAGAGTGTGCAGAGAAGACGTCCGGTTCGTGGCCCCCTGCTGGTCAGAATGCTGGTCTCCCTCTGGCCTCCCTACCCAGTCCTGACCCGCCGAGGCCCGGACGCCTCTGTGTGTTCTGACCCCTTCCTTCAGAACCTGCATCATCTGTGGGGTCGGACCACACGGGCCGGCCTTCCCTCCCCACCTGCATCAGAGAGCCTGTCGTTTGGATGCTCCTCTACAGATCCAGGTTCCGCTGGTGCGGCCCGAGCGTTTAAACTCCTGACAGAGAGAAGGTGAACTCCTACAGAACCCCCCCCCACAGAGCTGCTGCTGCAGGAATCGAACCTGCGGGCTGACAGTGACAGGACGCCGCACCTCGCCGTGTCTCTGGCAAATGTGGAGTTCGACTCCAGCAGGGATTACAGACCCGATCCGGACCTCCTCCTCCTCCTTCTCTATGCTAATTAAAGCTCTCAAGGTCTGCGAGTTTAAAGTGAGACTTCAAAAGAGAAACCAAACCCGGAGAGTCAATATGTGTCTTCTCCAGCCGGGCCGGAGGACACGCTTCAAACGAGCCGCACACTTATTAATCAGAATCATTTCCAAATGAGACCATCAGTGAGCAGGAGCGGCGGCGAGCCGACCTTTAACATGAGGAGTGAAGGTCAACGCGAGGAGGGGAGGAGGGGGGGCTTCAATTAGCATAGGAGGAGGAGGAGGATGGCAGGAGGTGAGAGGAGTGAATGACCTTTAACATGAGGAGTTAAAGGAGCAGGTCACAACAAATTGGCCCCCAAATTCTGCCCCCCGTCAGCTGACAGCCCACTGAAGTGTTTGATCAGTGATATTTTGTGTTCACTTCAACCAGCGCGTCATGACATCACTTCCTGTCTGACTCAGTCTCTCGTTCAGCATTTCTGTCCTGAAAACATGAATTTATTTAAAGTTGAATTATTATCTGTTCTGAAACAAAGTTTAACAGAGAAACTCCTCTGTCCAACCGTGACTGCAGACACTGAACTAACCACGGACCGGTCCGCTTTAAAGTTGTGGTTTCTGGTTTCATCTTGGTGGTTCTGACTCTGTCTGTCGCTTCATTTCTCAGCAGCTGTTGGTTTCTGTTGGAAATTAAAAAGCTTCCAGGCTCTAATCCCCCGGAGCCCTCCAGCCTAATTAACAGACTTCAGGAGGAAAAAGACTGAAAGAGCGACACTAATAACAAAATGTTGATATTTCAGCAGAGCTGCAGGACGACAGGAAGCAGAAGACGGATTATTGAAGGACGGAATAACTGAATAAATTCATGGATCAGTCAGTGATCTGACTGAGAGAAGAACTTCATCTATTAATACATAATAACCAAAATATTAGTGTTGCTGGGAAGAACATCATTGGTACTGAAACTAACCCTAACGTGTCCATGGACCTGGATCCAGTCACTGATCTGAGACCTGAGCAGCCACCAACACTTCCAGAGGATCAAATCTGCGACACAACAGCAGCTTGTTCATTAAAGAAGAACCGGTCCGAGTTTAAGAAGCTGCGAGCAGCGTGACTTTAAACTACGAGACTCTGACTGAAACTACAATCGGTCCTTTGTTACTGACCCCTGATCCCGACCCATGATCCAGGCCCGACCTCTAATCCGGGCCCGACTCCTAATCCGGGCCCGACCTCTAATCCGGGCCCGACCCCTAATCCTGGACAAACACCACGAAGAGAGTGAACGACGTAATGACGTTAGCTGGTTGTGGGTTTGACATTCAGGCCAACAGAGCAAACTGAAATTGAACTGAGAGAGAGAGTGTGTGTGTTTACCTCGCTCGCCCTCTGCTCTCTCTCCTGAGTCAGATCCTGTTCCAGCCGTTTACACTGCGGAGACACAATGTGGTCAGTATCTGATCAACACAATATACATCAGGAGCACACACAGCTGCCATCACCAGTGTGAGCGCCACAGCTCATTGGTTGGTTTCGTTTCCTCTTTGTGTTTCAGGCCTCTCTACTAGAAGCAGGAAGTGAGGTCAGCAGGTAATTTCAGGGCCGAGTTCAACCTCAAAACGATTAGAAACGTTTTTGGATTGAACAACATGTTTTCTTGCAAAGTTCCGCAACTGGCTCCGAGGTATTTTCTCCCGTATGGTGGCCGTGTCACAGATGTTATCCAATCAGCTGCGACGGTGTTAAAAAGGCAGGAAAATGCAGGGCTGTTCTCTGTTCCCTCACTGTTCTCTGTTCCCCCACTGTTCCCTGTTCCCTCACTGTTCCCTGTTCCCTCACTGTTCTCTGTTCCCACACTGTTCTCTGTTCCCCCACTGTTCTCTGTTCCCACACTGTTCTCTGTTCCCCCACTGTTCCCCCACTGTTCTCTGTTCCCTCACTGTTCTCTGTTCCCTCACTGTTCCCTCACTGTTCTCTGTTCCCTCACTGTTCTCTGTTCCCCCATAGTTCTCTGTTCCCTCACTGTTCTCTGTTCTCTGTTCCCTCACTGTTCTCTGTTCCCTGTTCCCTCACTGTTCTGTTCCCCCATAGTTCTCTGTTCCCTCACTGTTCTCTGTTCCCTCACTGTTCTCTGTTCTCTGTTCCCTCACTGTTCTGTTCCCCCATAGTTCTCTGTTCCCTCACTGTTCTCTGTTCCCTCACTGTTCTCTGTTCCCTGTTCCCTCACTGTTCTGTTCCCCCATAGTTCTCTGTTCCCTCACTGTTCTGTTCCCTCACTGTTCTCTGTTCCCTCACTGTTCTGTTCCCCCATAGTTCTCTGTTCCCTCACTGTTCTCTGTTCCCTCACTGTTCTCTGTTCCCTGTTCCCTCACTGTTCTGTTCCCCCATAGTTCTCTGTTCCCTCACTGTTCTGTTCCCTCACTGTTCTCTGTTCCCCCACTGTTCTGTTCCCCCACTGTTCTCTGTTCCCTCACTGTTCTCTGTTCCCTCACTGTTCTCTGTTCCCTGTTCCCTCACTGTTCTGTTCCCCCATAGTTCTCTGTTCCCTCACTGTTCTCTGTTCTCTGTTCCCTCACTGTTCTGTTCCCCCATAGTTCTCTGTTCCCTCACTGTTCTCTGTTCTCTGTTCCCTCACTGTTCTCTGTTCCCTGTTCCCTCACTGTTCTGTTCCCCCATAGTTCTCTGTTCCCTCACTGTTCTGTTCCCTCACTGTTCTCTGTTCCCTCACTGTTCTGTTCCCCCATAGTTCCCTGTTCCCTCACTGTTCTCTGTTCCCTCACTGTCCCAGTGTCCTCATACAAATATTTAGGTGTTCACACTGACAGTCTCCTTTGCTGGAACACACATGTTGAAAACCTGTGCAACAAGTTGCAGCAGAGGCTTTATTTCTTAAGGCGTCTAAGGTTGTACGGTGTGAGCAGTCAGATCATAATGATTTTCTACCATGCAATCTTAGAGAGTGTCATCAGATATGGAATTACTGCACGGTTCGGCAACTTAACAGCTAAGTTGAAAAACAAGCTTGCCAACATGCACAAAACAGCCGTGAAAATTACAGGAAGGAGGGACTATGAGGCTGTACAGAGCCTGCATGACCAAGCAGTTATGAAACAGGCTAAGAAAATGAAATCGGACCCTCGACATCCTCTCTTCCCTGAATACGAAACCCTGCCATCAGGAAGAAGACTCTGTGTACCAAGACGCAAATCCAATCGCCTAAAATGATCATTTGTGCCGGCCTCCATTAAGCTGCTGAACTATGTAAAGTAGTGTAAAAATTAATAAATATGTGAGCACTACAGCACTTTGCTTGCAACCTTGGTGCAATAGGGCAACGTGCAATAAATATACTAGTACCTTACCATATGCACTTTACACAAACTTCAGTTCAATGGAGCAATGTGCAACAACCACACTAGCACTTTAATCCATGGAACTATGTTGTCAACAAAGTCCTTTTTCTTCTGTGTTTATATTTTCCTCTTGTGAACTACAACATGTCCATGCTTCTCAGGTTCTTGTTGATGTCTTTTGTGAATTGTTCTTTTTTTTTATGAAACAACTCTGCACTGTGCGCAAGCAGAATTTCCCCTTGGGAACAATAAAGTTAACCTAACCTAACTGTTCCTGTTCCCTCACCGTTCTGTTCCTAACCCGTTCAGTTCCTTACTGTTTTGTTCCTTGCTGTTCCTCACCGTTCTGTTTCTAACTGTTCTGTTCCTCAGTTTCTAACCGTTCTGTTCCTCGCTGTTCCTCGCTGTTCCTAACAGTTCTGTTCCTTGCTGTTCTGTTCCTCACCGTTCTCCATTCCTCGCTGTTCCTAACAGTTCTGTTCCACACTGTTCTGTTCCTTGCTGTTTTGTTCCTTGCTGTTCCTCACCATTCCTAAACGTTCTGTTCCTTGCAGTTCTGCTCCTCACCGTTCTCCATTCCTCACTGTTCCTAACTGTGCTGTTCCTCACGGTTTTGTTTCTTACTTTTCCTGCAAACCAGATCTGCTGTTTAGATGTGCAGGTGGAACCTTGTTCTAAAGAGCGGTGTGAAGCCCCTCCCGCTGTCTTGCAGGCTGTCCTGTCAGCAGGTTAATCTCTCAGAGCTTTACAGATTTATAAACTGACCCGTGTTCCTCCTACAGCCAACCTGCATCAGAGGTTCATCCAGAACACTCAGCTGATCTGAGAATGATTCCGACCTCTGTTCTCTGTCAATGAGCTGATCGATCAAAAGACAGAAGGAACCAAAGTTCTTCAACCTGAGGAGCTGCTGATGTCACTGCACGTTACTGAACTACGGTATCGTTATAATCAATAATGATATTTAAGATGATTATTGGTCCAATCTTTTTATTCTGATCTCATGATAACAAAAGGTATCAGGCTCCACCCACCTCCACCTGCTCAGCCAATCACACACAGTTTCTCTGCACTATGTGTGTGTGTGTGTGTGTGTGTGTGGGGGGGGTCTTGTTTGGTTTTGACTGACAGCTCAGATCAGGCGCCGTGTCATCATGTGATCAATATCACCATTCATCACACCTCTGTTTCTCAGAACGGAACAGTGAACTTCTAAACTTCACCTCATGTTCTGATGATGGACGTCTGACTCATGTCCCTCCATTACTCAGTGACCTCCACTGGCTCCCCGGGGCCTCCAGAATCAAATCCAAGCCCTGATGCTGCATACAGAGCTACTCCTTGGTCTGCACCATCTACCTAAACTCCATAATCCAAGCCCACGTTCCTTCTGGGCCACTGCGCTCCTCCAACGAACGCCGCCTGGTTCTGCCATCCCTTCACACAAAGCAATCTCAGTCCCACGATGGTGGAACGAGCTACCGCACGCCATCGGAGCAGCGGCGTCCCTCTCTGACTTCAAGAAGCTCCGGAAACCTCTGCAGAGAACACTTCCTCTGATAACACCTCGAACCTCTGACATCACTTCCTGTGCTCTTCTTCTTCTGGCTCCTCACAGTTCTCCTGTAGTGACTGCACTATTCGTTAACTCTTACTTCTTCCTTCAGGTCGTCTGATGCCGTACGTGCTGACAGCTCTTAGTGTTTATTGCTGCAGATCCAGTGAAACGTTGCAGCTGTTAATAACGGACGTGCTGCCAACACTCGCAGGACACCTGCCCAGGATTCAGACTGACAGGACAGCGGATCACAAGTGAGATTATTGATGAATTTAAACAGACTGTCAGTAGATCAGACATTTCTCGGGCCTGATTTTTCTGAAACTGGGACATTTTAGGCGATTCAAAGAAATAGTGACTTCCTGTGTGAATGTAGATATCACCACAGTAACCCTCAGAGTAATGAGCTCATCACTGTAATCTATTTTTGACATTCATTCATTATTCTGTGGTTCTGTTAGAACTTTATCATTTTTATGATGAGATTCAGTTTTTATTGACTTTCAGTTAATATGCAGATTAAAATAAAGCCCAATAAGAGAAATTATTCTCCAACAGGTGCCGTTTCAGTAAATGAGCTCCAACACGGCTGAAGAACAGAATCAAACCCACGACCTTCCGGCGAGTCTGGCTCGTCCAGGTGAGCTCTGCTAACCTGTAAGAACCTGTAATTACCTGATATTAACTCAATAAAAGCAGCTGCCGTATGAGACGGCCGGGGAGAGTGAGAGACTGGGAGCGCTCGGGGAGACACCTCCCCCACTTTTCTAATATTTCCCAGAAGTCCCGGTTGTGGCGGGGAGATAATCCCTGAGAGATGAGGAGAGGGAGCGAGGGATCGGTGAGCGGCGACGGGGGAAGGGGGGGGATCCTCCAGCGTGGAGTGTTCTCTCTCTTCTTCTTCTCCTCAGAGGATTATAGTGGCATTTGAAACATATTTCAGCACGCCGCGGCAGCGGAGCGAGGGCGGGATTAAAGTGTTACTGTGGAGGGGTGGTGTTAACGCATAGGGGCGGGGTGTTAACGGCGATATTTGTGGGGGTTAGTGGCTGTACGCTGGGTGATGCTGAAGTGAAATGGATATGGCGGCGAGTTCTGTGGGGCTAATGGAGGCGGCGGGGGAGGGGGGGGCAAACTGATACAGGTTTAAAGGTTTGCTACATCTCTACAGGTACTGCACTGACTTTAAGTTTGCAGACGACACCACCCTCATTGGGCTCATCACAGGTGGGGATGAGTCCGCCTACAGGTGGGAGATCGACCATCTGGTGACCTGGTGCAGCCAGAACAGTCTGGAGCTCACCAGGAAAGCCTTGGACACCTCCAGGACTCTAAATTTATGGCGGCGCCCCACCCCTCCGGACACAAAATGTTTCAGACACTCCCCTGCGCCACATGACCAGTTTCATCCAATCTTCAGGCGCCCTCCCCATCCGTCTCGCTGCGCTACCTTCAGGCGCCCTCCCCATCCGTCTCGCTGCGCTACCTTCAGGCGCCCTCCCCATCCGTCTTGCTGCGCT